TACATATATATATATATTTACATACATATATATATACATACATACATACATACATACATACATACATACATACATACATACATACATACATACATACATACATACATACATACATACATACATACATACATACATACATACATACACACACATATACATATACATATACATATACATATATATATATATACATATATATATACATACACGCATATATATACATATATACATATGTATATATTACACATATACACACACACTGTATACACATACATATCATACATGATATTTTGTATGATACACACATCATATCCATCCTGGAGATCCTAGGCGCAGGATTTCTCCCAACGCCCGCACCATCACTCGACCCATGGACATCGCCGCCATTGGGTGCTAGCCTCAGCGATGGCACCAGAGGGCTGCAGTGTTTGTTTTTGGCCCCGGCCAGGACCCAAATCCATGGCGACACAGCAAGGACGGGCCAAACATGGCTCACAGGCCTGGCAGAGAGAAAGGAAAAAATGGTGGCGGATGCTATTGATGTCTCTTGTTTTTTTGGTGATCTTTATGTCCCTGAATAACTTTACATCACTACTTGCACGACATGTGGTCGGTGATGGCATCACATCAGGCTACGCAACATGAGTTTCGCAGCATTTGGAGCACCTGGGCTGCATGAGAAAATTTCCCAGAGGCTTTTTCGGCCTATCCTGAGAAAAGTATATAATGTTTTCAATGAGCAGAGATCCTCCAGTACCCTTCACTGAGGTTTTTGGGCTCAGCATCTACATGTTGACTCCTTCACCAAACTATGCTGCAGCCCCTCCGCGCTTCCAGGAGGTGCGGGTGACACCCAAAGTCCAAAGGTTGACACGTCCACTTCACTGTCTAAAGAGTTGGGTTTGTCCAAACATGTGGAATAACCCAATTCATGGTTGAATGTGGAGGATCATGATGATCAACCATGGGACTCGGGGTACATGATTTTCGGAAAAAAACACTCTGACTCTGCAGGACTCCAACTCCAAACAAAGAGAAGCAGACATCAAACGCGCCGAGATGGAGGTGGGGCCTCAGCATGGAGCTTGGGCTAATTTTTAACAGCCTTCGGCATTCCGCCGGCCCTCTGGCTGTTGGCGGAGAGGCCGAAAGCAGGGGTTGTTGGTGTAGAGGCGGCTGTGGGGGCTGATGAGGATGATGAGGAGGATGACTCTGGCTGTGGCTGGCTGGCTCTGGCTGGCTGGCTGACTAGGTGGCTAGGTGGCCGCTGGCTGGCTGCGTGGCTGGCTAGGTGGCTGGGTGGCTGGCAGTTGCTGTTGGCTGGTTGGCTGGCTAGGTGGCTGGCTGTGTTGGCTGATGAGGCTGATGAGGAGGATGACGGATGACTGGCTGTGGCTGGCGGCTCTGGCTGGCTAGGTGGCTACATGATTATACATATACATACATATACAAACATATACATACATATACATACATAATACACACATATACATACAAATACAACAATAGATACATATACATACGTACATATACATGCGTACATATACATACGTACATATGCATACATATACATACATATACATACATATACATGCATATACATACATATACATGCATATACATACATATACATACATACACACACATATACATACAAATACAACAATAGATACATATACATACATATACATACGTATACATTCATATACACACATATACATACAAATACAACAATAGATACATATACGTACATATACGTACATATACGTACATATACGTACACATACGTACATATACGTACATATACGTACATATACGTACATATACATACATATACCTACATATACAGACATATACATACATATACATACGTATACATACATATACATACATATACATACATATACAGACATATACATACATATACATACATATACATACATATACATACATATGCAGACATATGCAGACATATACAGACATATACAGACATATACAGATAGACGGACAGACGGACAGACAGACAGACAGCCATGCATGCATGCAGACAGACAGACATACAGACAGATATGCAGACAGACATACAGACATACAGATACACACACACACATACACACACGCACACACGCACGCACACACACACACATGCATACACACATAGACACAGACACATATACATGTACATATACACATACATAGATACAAAGGAGGGGGGGGCAGACAAACCAAAAATATGTCGAAGAGGAACATTAGCCTAAGCTCTACCTGAGCTAAAGATGATGAGAAGAACATCCACAAAACACGCCGGCAGGCAAGCGGATTTCGCGACCTCACCCATCTCGCCTTAGAAGTATTTGCTGATGAATTACACAGAAGTACTAAAAGTTTGAAGCTGCAGGCTGAACAAATTGCTGCCAGGACCGCTTTGATGTATTTGCGTTTACAGTTCAAATTACAGCAAAGGTATGCATGAATTCAAGACTTGCGTGACTTGCAGCTGTTTCATCGCCAGATTCTCCCACTTTTCTTTAAAACTACTTTTTGCATTTCTCCTTCTGTCTCCTTTCTTTCTTTCCTTCCTTTTTTCTTTCTTTTACACTCTCTCTCTCTCTCTCTCTCCCTCCCTCCCTCCCTCCCTCTCTTTCCTCTCTCTGTCTTTGTGAATCTTTACATGTACTATCTATATACATAGTATTCAGAGTTCCTAAGTCTCTAGGATGGAGGGGTTTCAAAATATGTTTTTTTATGATTTATTTATGATTTGAATACGATTTCCATTTATGATTTTTTTATGGGTTCAAATTGTGGTTATGATTTTTTTATGGTTTGGATATGTTTTTTTATGGTTTTGGATATGATTTTTTTATGGTTTTTTTAGTCCTCAGAATCTGGTTTTCAGCTAAAAACTCGAGAAATTTTCGTTTTTTTTATGATTTTGCTAGAGTTTCCTTTTCCCCAAAGCCTTTTCAGCAGAAAATTTGATTTTGAAAGCAAAATCGTAAAAAAATCGTAAACAAATCGTAAAAAAATCGTAAATGCATCCAAGGTCCCCAGAATCTGGTTTTCAGCTAAAAACTCGAGAAATTTTCGTTTTTTTTATGATTTTGCTAGAGTTTCCTTTTCCCCAAAGCCTTTTCAGCAGAAAAATTGATTTTGGAAGCAAAATCGTAAAAAAATCGTAAAAAAAACGTAAAAAAATCGTAAAAAAATCGCAAATGCATCCAAGGTCCTCAGAATCTGGTTTTCAGCTAAAAACTCGAGAAATTTTCGATTATTTTATGATTTTGCTAGAGTTTCCTTTTCCCCAAAGCCTTTTCAGCAGAAAAATTGATTTTGGAAGCAAAATCGTAAAAAAATCGTAAAAAAATCGTAAAAAATCGTAAATGCATCCAAGGTCCCCAGAATCTGGTTTTCCAGCTAAAAACTCGAGAAATTTTCGATTTTTTTGTGATTTTGCTAGAGTTTCTCTGTAAAAATCAAATTTTCTGGTGGAAAAGACTTCAGGGAAGAGGAAATTCTACGAAAATCGTAAAATAATCGTAAAAAAATCGAAAATTTCGCGAGTTTTCAGCTGAAAACTAGATTCTGGGGACCTTGGAAGCATTTACGATTTTTTTACGATTTTTTTACGATTTTTTTACGATTTTGCTTCCAAAATCAATTTTTCTGCTGAAAAGGCTTTGGGGAAAAGGAAACTCTAGCAAAATCATAAAAAAATCGAAAATTTCTCGAGTTTTTAGCTGAAAACCAGATTCTGAGGACTAAAAAAACCATTAAAAAATCATTAAAAAAATCATATCCAAAACCATAAAAAAACATATCCAAACCATAAAAAAATCAGATTGAACGCGCAATGGCGGAAATTATCACCCCAGCCACTCAGCCACTCACTCAGCCACTCTCACACTCTCCCAGAGTGGCTGGACCAGCCACTCAGCTGGACCAGCCACTCAGCCACTCAGTGGCTGAGTGGCTGAGAGAGTGGCTGAGTGGCTGGTTCAGCTGCTCTGGCAGAGTGGCTGAGTGGCTGAGTGGCTGTATGGAACAGTTTTTTTTGGGATATATACGTGACTTAAGCCCCGTAAAAAATTCTCTGCACACATTGCATCTGAATTTGTATTCTTTGCTGGCTCGGTTTCGCTATAATGTTAGTTATTTGTATGTAGTGTTAGGTCCCTACAAGATAAAGGAAGACACCCGAAATTAACATAAAACCTCACTCAAAAAACTACCCAGACCTAAGAAAAATTAGGTCTGGGTAATGCTGCTTACACTCTATTAGCTAAGCTACACATGACCTTCTTTCTCACAACCCTTTAACACAGATGTTTGCATAAAATTCCATTCAATCCATAAGAATATATGCCCCCGTTCCCTACACGATAAAGGAAGAAACCCGAAATTAACATAAAACCCCACTCAAAAAACTTCCCAGACATAAGAAAAATTAGGTCTGGGTAATGCTGCTTACACTCTATTGGATAAGCTACACATCGCTTCTTTCTCACAACCCTTTAACACAGGTGTTTGCATAAAATTCCACTCAATCCATAAGAGTATATGCCCCCGTTCCCTACAAGATAAAGGAAGAAACCCTAAATTAGCTTCAAACTTCACTTAAAAAAATAGCCAGACCTAAGAAAAAATACATCTGGATAATACTGCTTACACTCTATTGACTAGGTTGCACATGGCTTCTTTCTCACAACCCTTTAACACAGATGTTTGCATAAAAATCCATTCAATCCATAAGAATATATGCCCCCGTTCCCTACACGATAAAGGAAGAAACCCGAAATTAACATAAAACCCCACTCAAAAAACTTCCCAGACATAAGAAAAATTAGGTCTGGGTAATGCTGCTTACACTCTATTGGATAAGCTACACATGACTTCTTTCTTACAATCCTTTAACACAGGTGTTTGCATAAAATTCCATTCAATCCATAAGAGTATATGCCCCCGTTCCCTACAAGATAAAGGAAGAAACCCGAAATTAACATAAAACCCCACTCAAAAAACTACCCAGACCTAAGAAAAATTGATCTGGGTAACGCTGCTTACACTCTAAGAAAAATTAGGTCTGGGTAATGCTGCTTACACTCTATTGGATAAGGCTTCTTTCTCACAACTTTAACACAGGTGTTTGCATAAAATTCCACAATCCATAAGAGATGTTTGCATAAAATTCCATTCAATCCATAAGAATATATGCCCCCGTTCCCTACACGATAAAGGAAGAAACCCGAAATTAACATAAAACCCCACTCAAAAAACTTCCCAGACATAAGAAAAATTAGGTCTGGGTAATGCTGCTTACACTCTATTGGATAAGCTACACATCGCTTCTTTCTCACAACCCTTTAACACAGGTGTTTGCATAAAATTCCACTCAATCCATAAGAGTATATGCCCCCGTTCCCTACAAGATAAAGGAAGAAACCCGAAATTAACATAAAACCCCAATCAAAAAACTACCCAGACCTAAGAAGAATTAGGTCTGGGTAATGCTGCTTACACTCTATTGGATAAGCTACACATGACTTATTTCTTACAATCCTTTAACACAGATGTTTGCATAAAAATCCATTCAATCCATAAGAATATATACCCCCGTTCCCTACAAGATAAAGGAAGAAACACTAAATTAGCTTCAAACTTCACTTAAAAAAATAGCCAGACCTAAGAAAAAATACATCTGGATAATACTGCTTACACTCTATTGACTAGGTTGCACATGGCTTCTTTCTCACAACCCTTTAACACAGATGTTTGCATAAAATTCCATTCAATCCATAAGAATATATGCCCCCGTTCCCTACAAGATAAAGGAAGAAACCCGAAATTAACATAAAACCCCACTCAAAAAACTTCCCAGACATAAAAAAAAAAAATAGGTCTGGGTAATGCTGCTTACACTCAAAAAACTACCCAGACCTAAGAAAAATTAGGTCTGGGTAACGCTGCTTACACTCTATTGGCTAAGCTGCACATGACTTCTTTCTCACAACCCTTTAACACAGATGTTTGCATAAAATTCCATTCAATCCATAAGAATATATGCCCCCGTTCCCTACAAGATAAAGGAAGAAACCCGAAATTAACATAAAACCCCACTCAAAAAACTACCCAGACCTAAGAAAAATTAGGTCTGGGTAATGCTGCTTACACTCTATTGGCTAAGCTGCACATGGCTTCTTTCTCACAACCCTTTAACACAGATGTTTGCATAAAAATCCATTCAATCCATAAGAATATATACCCCCGTTCCCTACAAGATAAAGGAAGAAACACTAAATTAGCTTCAAACTTCACTTTAAAAAAAAACAGACCTAAGAAAAATTAAATCTAGATAGTACTGCTTACACTCTGTTGACTAGGTTACACATAACTTCTTTCTGGCAACACTTGAACAGAAATGTTTGCAAAAAAATCCATTAAATCCATAAAAATATATGCCCCCGTTCCCCACAAGATAAAGGAAAAAAACGTAAATTAGCTTCAAACCTCATTAAAAAAAATACCAAGACCTAAGAAAAATTAGGTCTTGGTAATACTGCTTCGTCTCCATTGGCTAAGCTGCACTAGCTATTCACCCACTGAGACATTCTGCCAGAGTGGCTGGTCCAGCCGCTGGCTGAGTGGCTGCTCCAGCCACTCTGCCACAGCCACTCAGCCACCAGACACTCTGGTAAGAGTGGCTGGTCCAGCCGCTCTGGGAGAGTGGCTGAGTGGCTGAGTGGCTGGTCCAGCCACTCTGGGAGAGTGGCTGAGTGGCTGAGTGGCTGCTTCGATTTCGCGAGCCGTGTTGCACATCCACTCAAAAATCATAACCACAATTTGAACCCATAAAAAAATCATAAATGGAAATCGTATTCAAATCATAAATAAATCATAAAAAAAATTATTTGCCAAAAATGGCATCCTAAAGGATTTAAGAAGTCTGAACCATAGTATGCATATACTAACTACACATTCACATTCATATCCATGTTAGCTCCATCGCTGTTCATCGGGCAGGACATCGGCAGAAGGAGGACCTGCAACTCCTGCTGCTTACACGAGGACAGATGGCCATAGGACCACAGACTGGCCTGTTGCTTCTCTTGTTTCGTGTTCTACTCCGTCGCTCTTTTTTGTTGTTGCTCAGTGCAGGGAAAAGTCGGACTACTACAAGAACCGCTTAACGAGAAGCTCAGTTCGGGTCAGAGGCAGGGCAAAAACGAAAACGAATAGAACTACCGCAAAAGGCAGGTGCCATGACAGACGTCACCAGGGTCATTCCTCCTCAGTAGATGGGCTTAAGGCAGCGATGCCTATGTGTCCCCTTCAGAAGCGGCAAAAAGCCGTGGCCTCAGATGCTGCCAGTTGGCCTGCCGCAGAACCTGCGGACACCTTGCAATCGGTTAAACAGGATGTACGACATCTTATAATTACCAATATCGTGTTTACGTGCTCTTACTTTTCGGGCTGGTGGAGTTGGGGTTCGGGGGGTTGGGTTTGTCGTGGGGGTTGTCAAGGGTCTTCGGGGCCGTCAGGGTTCTGCCAACATTGCACAACTGTACTTACTGACGAACTGTGGATATGTAGAAGGTAATCCATCCGCCGCAAATATTCTATTCCGCTGATACTCCACACATTCCACTCCCACAATGTGCAGAAATCTTGTCCTGCCCCGTAGGTCGGGAAAAGCGTGAAGGCATTCAATACTCAGCAAGAGCCCTGGTGACTGTCAACAGGCCTTGCCTCAAGTGACCTGAGTTGCATGGACTTTATAGAAAGCTGATATGACCAAGCATTGTCCTCATCGCTATCATCATTACCAGTAGTACCGCACAAGGCGGTGGCAGAAATTACAAAGATAGGCAACTACAAGAGAGGTGAATTTTTGTGATGCATGGATGCAAGATCGAACCCGCTGATGATCGAAAGGTGGTTGAGGCTCTGAGTCTCTCTCTCTCTCTCTCTCTCCCTCTCTCTGACTCTCTCTCTCTCTCTCTCTCTGTCACCTTCTCTCTCTCTCTCTCTCTCTGTCACCTTCTCTCTCTGTCTCTCTATCTCTCCCTCTCTCTATCTATCTGTCTATCTATCTCTCGTGCCGTAAAATGAAGTTTTGGTTGTAATTGTCGTAGTTGTAGCTGTTGTAGCTGTTGTAGCTGTAGTAGCTGTGGTGGTGGTGGTGGTGGTGGTGGTGGTCTAGTTCTAGTACTAGTAGTAGTAGTAGTAGTAGTAGTAGCAGTAGTAGTAGTAGTAGCAGTAGTAGTAGCAGTAGTAGTAGTAGCAGCAGCAGTAGTAGTAGTAGTAGCAGGAGGAGTAGTAGTAGTAGCAGGAGTAGTAGTAGTAGGAGTGGTAGGAGTAGTAGGAGTAGTAGGAGTAGTAGGAGTAGTAGGAGTAGGAGTAGGAGTAGGGGTAGGGGTAGGGGTAGGGGAAAAAATGTAAAAAAAGTTGATTCAGTGAAGTTTTCTAAACTAATATCATAGCAGTATAGCAAATCAAAATTTATTCTTTAAAAAAAACGTAACAGTCCAAAAAGTCAGTTTAGTTTAAATATTGTTGATTACTTCATTTTTCTCAACAATATCAAAGCAGAATTACCTCATTCAATTTTTCAAAATCATAGCAGTCAAAGCATACTTACCTCATTCATGTTTCAAAATCATAGCAGTCAAAACATAATTACCTCATTCAATTTTTCAAAATCATAGCAGTCAAAGCATACTTACCTCATTCATTTTTCAAAATCATAGCAGTCAAAACACAATTACCGATTACCTCATTCAATTTTTCGAAATCATAGCTGTCAACGCATACTTACCTCATTCATTTTTCAAAATCATAGCAGTCAAACGCATTATTACCTTTGTGAGTTTGAGGTCTTTTGGATCCTTACACCATGGTCCTCACGTGTGGCTTTTGGTTCGAATCTACCCTGACTTAGGGCCCTTGAGCTGTTGGTTGCAAAAACGGCCCCTAGCTCAAACTGGTAGCGGAGCTGGTTGCCTCAGAGTTCGCTCCCGACATCCGGACTCTCACGGTGATAGCCTAGGTCCGAAACCTGTGTGTGTGTGTGTAAGTGTGTAACGTAGAAACAACCTGAAGAATCGTCGAAACCCCGTCGAACGCTATGTCGATGGCCGGCCTGAGGTACTGCCCAAGCAGTCCTACAGGACCATTGGAAACAAAGAGTGGAGCCTACGTGTATAGTGGAGATCCATCCCACTTTCACGAATGGCAATTCAGAACCCTTCTTCGTGTAGAACTCTGCAAGAAGAAGATGGAACAGAAGATAACAGAAGGCCAAGGAGAAGGCCAAGGAAGCATCCAGTTCCCCGGTCAGCCCTGCAAGCAGTGGCCGGAGGAGACGCGAGCCGACAGAAGCGGCTGAGCAAGGAGATGCTGAAGAAACTGCTGCTGAAGAAACTGCTGCTGAAGTGTCGCCTCAGGCCCCTTCAGGTGAGCATTCAGCTGGACTTGGTGGTTTTGCTTCACCCCGTAGTCAAGAGGAGCACGATCTGTTGGACGTGTCCCCATATGTGGAGCTTGTCACTAAGGTCATGGAAGGGCTCAGAGGTGATGCATTTCTGATGGCAAAAGACTTGGGTCTGAACGCATTGATGGATGTTGGCCCTCCTACCGGACTGGAATTGCTGGTGGAGAGAATCAAGGAGCATGTGTTCCCTTTGAGGTCACATGAGGCAAGGGAGCTTTTCAGGCTCGGTCAACAGGCAAATGGCCCCCTCAGTCGACAGTCTGCAGAGACGATCTTGTCCTTCATTGGAAGGAGGAAACGATGGTGGATTCAGCTTAAGGAGCTCGACCCAGAGATGGCAATTTCCACCCAGATGCGAGCTGAACTTCTCCTTGAAACATCAGGCCTAAGCCGTCAGGAACAACTCATGATCAAGACTGCCTGCCCAAAGCCCAGCTTTGAGGGATACAGCGAGATCTTGTTGGAACACCATGGAAGGATCCACTTGAGGGATTCGAGGAATTTGGCCCCTCCTTCAAGGCCCTTTCAATCGAAAGGAGCAGGAAAGAACAAAGGAAAGGGGTGGTATCGATCAGGCTACATTGCAGGTGAGTACGATGGCCATGCAGGTGATGAAGCAGCAGACGATGCAGACAACTATGACTGGAATGGGGACTACGACAATGGAGCCTATGTTGGGTATGGTGATGAGCCCAGTACTGAGGACCCAGATGATTGTGACTGGGTGTCAGATGAAGATCTTGGCATTGCTCTGACAGCTATGGCTGCCTGTGACATGGACGAGACCTCAACAGAGGGTCTTGAGGAACTTGGAGAGGCATGCCAACACCAGTTGCAGGCCTACGCTGCTGTAGGACGTGCCAAGGGAAAAGGACCCTTCAAGGGATCAGGAAAAGGAAAAGACAAAGGCAAGGGGAAGGGCAAGAGGGTTGTGAGAACCCAATTGTCCATCCAAGACAGGAAAGTCAGACTTGCCAGTCTGAAGAAGAACAGTCGATGCCTACAATGTGGAGGCTATGGACACTGGGCAGGTGACCCAGAATGCAAAATGCCAAACAAGAAGCCGAATGCCACTGCATCGGTCCCAGGTCAAGTGCCGAGCCAAGGAAAGGTTGGCTATCTTGCCCTGAGTGATTCCTCAGGAGATGATGATGACTTGCCTTGTGTGGTCATTGGAGCAGGGAACAAAAAGAAGTCGTGTGGGTATATGGGTTACAGAACCTGACAGGGATCCCCAGCTAAGGCCAAAGCTAGATCCCCCTTACGACCTTCTCCTGTTTCCAGTGATGGCAGTTTTTCCCATGTGTCCCATGCATCCCATGCCTCAGGTCCACGTGTGCCTAGGATGCCTGCCTTTCGTGCCAAGCGAGAGAACCCAATGGATGACATGACCCTTCCACCAGGGAGCGACCATGTCTTCACGTTTGGGCAGCACAAAGGGTACACATACCATGAGGTGTTGATGCAATACCCTGGTTACTATGTTTGGGGTCGTAATGAACCAGGAACGTCAAGAATCCTGAACCAGTTCTTGGATTGGGTTGATATGTACTATGATGTTGACCAAGGAACCCATCAAGTAACCCCAAAAGTGGCCCCAGAAGAAGTGCAGCCAAGACCCAGCCCTGTGCCGGGATCGAAGCACAAGACTGCAGCGAAGAAACCTCCACCCCTAGCCAAGTGGAGCAAAGGTAATCCAGGAGATCCTTGGAAAGTTCTCGGTCGGGAAGACTGAAGAAGGAAGCTTCAGGTACTGTGGACGTCGGTTTACCCAGCACGATGATTTCACAATCGAAATCGATGCTGAGGAGAACACCAGAGGAATCAAGCCAATTTTGATTGACAAGTCCCGCAAGGGAACTGACGTTGTCACGGAAAAGGAGCTGACAAGTCTCCGGTCAGTGACGGGATCACTGGCGTGGGTAGCACGGTACTGTCGTGCAGACTTAGCATACAAAGTGAATGAGCTGCAGAGACTTTGCAATCCAAAGGCCACGGTGTCAGACTTGAGGCTGGCAAACAAGGCTGTTGAACTGGCGCACCAGAATCAGAACATGAAACTGGTGTACAAGGCCAATTGGATTGACTGGAAGGATCTTGCAGTGGTGACGTACAGCGATGCGTCATTTGCAAATCAGCCTGGATACAAGTCGCAGCAGGGCAGAATCCACTATCTGTCTACCGCTTCGCGTTTCCGTGACCATAGTATCCATGTGATCGGGTTCGCTTCCTCAACATTGAAGCGAGTGTGCAGAGCAACTTTACAAGCTGAGTCATACGCACTTCAGAGTGCAGTGGAGCACGGTGACCGCTTGAGATGTGTCCTGTGTGAAATGACCGGCAAGCTGGCCACGATGACAGACTGGCATGAACAATGTCAGATGAAGATGAAACACGTTTGGGTGTCTGACTGCATGAGCTTGGTCGAACACCTGAATGCGGAAGTGCCCAAGAAAGTCCAAGATAAGAGACTTGGGACTGAACTTGCGGCACTGAGGCAGTCCTTGTGGACCGGGAATGGCCAGAAGAGCTGCCAGGAGTATGCGCCCTGCGGGGACGAGCTGTGGTGGATTGAGACCGCCAAAATGCTAGCCGACGCTTTGACAAAGTCAATGCGTCCGGACTTGCCGGTAAGAGTTGTACAGACTGGCCGTAATTCAATGACATGAACACATCTACAGATGCGTGGCCTGAGCCATCAGCAGGAATAGCCCGCTGGAAACTTGTAAAGACCAGGTAGCCTGAACTGCCACGAGAGGACATGTAGATAAGACGGGTGTGAGTTTGAGGTCTTTGGATCCTTACACCATGGTCCTCACGTGTGGCTTTTGGTTCGAATCTACCCTGACTTAGGGCCCTTGAGCTGTTGGTTGCAAAAACGGTCCCTAGCGCAATTCAAACCTTATTCATTTTACAAAATCCTATCCATCAACCGTTCCTAGATTCCTTTTTATGCTTCTCTGTTTTTAAATGTCTTGAATAAAATTGTGCCTTCATTGATGAAGTACATACATTACAAAAGGCAACTTTATCACGATAGTTTTGTATTTGTTCCTGTTTCTTTTTTCTATATTCTTCATCTTCTTTATATTTAGTTCTTCGTGTTTCATTCACTTAATCTTTATGTTTGTCATAGTTCTTTCTCTTGTATTCCAAGCATTTCTTACAAGTCTTCAATCCATCTTCAAAATTATCAATTGGTAAATCTTTAACACAGTATCTACAAAATTTACCCATTACATATAAATATGATTATCTTCTTAAATGTCTTTTCCAAGAATTCCTATAACAACCAAAAAACAAAAACAAACCAAACAAAGAACAACATTAAAAACAAAACAATAGACAACAATAAACATTATTCCCTACCCTTTAATAACCCTATCTTACAAATCCATAATTCTAATAAATAAATATTCTTAGAAATATGTTAGTAGTAAATCTCTTCAATAATTATCAATTCAAAATGAAATGCTTGTATTCCTGTTATACTATCTTTATCTTGGTCTTCTTATATCGGTTTCTATTTCAACTGCTTTATTTAATACTTCGTCTATATTATCTTCATCTACATATTCATCAACGCCATTCATAAAGTAAATTTCCCTAAAACTAAATTCATGTTCACCATATTCTTTATCTGGTAGTTTTGCCACTAATTGAACTTCAATATCATGTGTACCTCTATAATTTAAGTAATATTTTACTTCTTCATAAATTAAAGATAATAATTCTTCTTTTTCTTCTGATATTATGTCTTCTAAACTTTTTAAACTAAATGGCACTCCCTCTCTCATAATACAGTATTCAATTATATATATATATGTATAATTTTTTTTTCTTGATTTCAAATGTCTTGTTATTTTAGAACCATGTCTTGAAAACTTATACTTATTTTGTATTCTCTTTAATGCCTCAATATGACAATATTTAAACTTCAAATATTTAGGGTCTCCAATTTTTAAGAAACACTTTTACTCAACACATCAATGGGTAAATCCTTCGCACAATCCATCCTACAAATATACTTAAATAATTATTTTTTAAGTATATATTCAAAGATTAGAATAAAACATTCTTTAAAAACTACTTAAAAATAAATTAACTAAATAAAATATATACTATTATATGATGAAAAAAATAGACTATTTATTGAGTAATGCTTTAGCAGAAATACCAAAAAAAGGAAGAAAAGAATTGAAGTCCATAATCATAGACAACAAAAAGTTCAGATACAACAAAGACAAACCCATATCAAATGTTTTGACCAAGAAACTACTATCAGTAAAGAACACTAATGAATACAGAAGTTATGCTATGAAAAAGGCAACGGATGTTGTAAGTAGAGAAAGGGTTAAACTATTACTAACCAAACACGCTATAAAAAACAAATTCACGGTCAGAGGTATTCAATCAGCATTTAGAAGATACGCTAATTCAATAGTTTTGGAAAACAAACACTTTCAAGGAGAAAGGGGATTAGAAATGATTGCGCACCAAAAACAAAGACTATCAGATTTTTTGAGAAATAATAGAAGCATGAAACTTAATATAAGAACGGAAGGATTATTTGAAAAACCTGAATATGATTATGGAGGAAATGAATTGGGAAGTCAGGAACTTGTATATGCCCTACCATCAACCCGCTTCAATATTAGTAATGAGGATGAACTGACACAAGCATTAGAAGATAGTGTTATTCGAATCCGATTACAAATACAAAATTTAGAAGGTTCAACATCTAATTTAAGATTTAAGAAAATTTTATCAATAACTATTCACTATGACAGATATGACCCAACAAGAGCAGGGAGATACATTGAATTACCAGAATGGATTAAACTAAAAAGGCATGTATCAACATTAAAAATATAGACCAAAAATGCTTCAAATATTGTATTCAATCCATAGTCTATGACAAAATAAGCAAACATCACCCAGAGGAAATGTTCCACTATAATAAACTCAAAGATGATATGTTGAACTGGGATGGTGTAAAATTTCCAACTGGTAATAGGGACATAGACAGATTTGAAGAGAATAATTAATCAGTTTCAGTAAATGTTTTTGAACCTGATGACAGCTTAAATGACAACAAAATCATATTACATAGAGGCACTAAAAAATAGAAATGCTAAATACGAAATAGATTTATTAAAAGTCTATGATGAAGATAATCACTATCATTACGTATTAGTAAAAAACAAATCTAGATTACTAAACTGTCAGAGCAGTAGCAACACTAATAAAAAGTTTTACTGCCACCATTGCTTAAATCCATTTCAATCAGAAAAAGTATTTAAGAAGCGTCTTGAAAAGGATGTATGGCGTCAGAAGGACAACAAACAAAGATGCCAAATAAAGACACATAGAATTTGAAAAGCATAATACTAAATTGCCTTGTCCTTTTGTAATCTACGGTGATTTTGAATGTCTAACCACTAACTCTAACATTGAAATAAAGGGACCTTACGGCACCGAAGGTGCCGTAAGTTGCTCTGGAAGCAGTGCTCCCAGAGGAACTTACAAAGGACATAAACCATGTGGTTATATGCTAAATGTAGTAAGCAGGATTGATAATGCATGCCAACAGTACTTATACAGAGGTGAGGATTGTATGAAAAAGTTTGTAGAACAGCTGACTGAAATTAAGAAAAATATATTTGAAAAGATGAATGCTAATAAACCAATGGATGAATTAACTTACGAACAAAAGACAGAATTTAGACAAGCAACCCACTGCTCTATATGTAATAAGAAATTCCAACCTGATGATGAGAAAGTCCGCGACCACTGCCACTTCACAGGCAAATACAGAGGCGCAGCGCATGTAAAGATTATTCATTTAGGTATTTTAAAATCCCTATTTTCTTTCATAATCTTAAAAATTATGACGCTCACTTAATCATAGCAAAAGCAAATGAACTAAACATAGAACTAAACCAAAACAAAAGAATCGATGTAATAGCACAAAACAGCGAAAAGTTCATAACCTTTTCATTTGGCGCTTGTCAGTTTAAAGACAGTTTTGCTCTCTTAACAGCATCATTAGATAAATTAGTTAGACTGAACAAATATGAAGGAAATGAACAGATTAAAGACTGGGAAACTCGTTTTAGATATACAAGCACTAACCCATACATTAAATCCAAAACTGATTTGAATTTACTAACTGAGAAAGGGGTGTATCCCTATGACTACATGAATTCATGGAATAAGTTTGATGAAACAAAACTACCAAAGAAAGAATACTTTTACAGTAAATTATATGAAGAAAACATAACTGACAAAGACTACGCCAGAGCAAATATTGTATGGAAACATTTTGACATTAAAAACCTTGGCGAATATCATGATTTATATTTGATGACTGATGTATATTTACGAACTGAAAATTTTAGGGATGTGTGTTTGAACTATTATGGATTAGACCCAGCATATTATATCACTTTACCTAACTATTCTTGGAATGCCTTTTTATCATTGACAGGAGTTAGACTAGAACAAATACACAAAAAAGAAATGTATGAGATGATTGAACATGGATTACGAGGAGGAATGACACAGTCTCCTTTAAGAAGGTAGAAGCAAACAATAAATACATGAATGAAGATTATGATAAATCTAAACCTTCATCATACATAAGTTATTTAGATGCTAATAACCTTTACGGATTAGCAATGTGTAGGAAACTGCCATATGGTGATTTTAAATGGTACTACGGTAGAATGGATGAAAAGAGAGTAATGAAATATAGTGATGATGATGATACAGGATACATATTAGAAGTTGATTTGGATTATCCAAAGGAACTTCATGATTTACATAAAGACTATCCATTGGCGCCTGAAATCATGTGTATCAATGAGAATATGCTTTCACAAGTCCAAAAGGACATACACAAATACTATTATGGAAAAGATGCCAGTGATGAAAAGGCAAATAAATTAGTATTAAATGTGATGGATAAAAAGAAGTATGTTTTACATATATCAGCATTGAAGTTTTATTTACAACAAGGATTAAGTCTTCGAAAAGTCCATAGAGCAATGAGTTTTAAACAAGCAAACTTCTTAAAACCATTCATTGAATTCAACACTGAAAAGAGAAAGAATGCCAAACATGATTTTGAAAAAGATTTGTTTAAGCTAATGAATAACAGTGTATATGGTAAGACCATGGAGAATGTAAGAAAGCATGGTGATTATGAGATAGTCAATACGCCTGAACGCTTCCAAAAACTGGTAAATAAACCGCTATTCAAGCACAGGTATATCATAAATGAAGACCTTGTAATTGTTGAAAAAGATAAACACACAGTGGAACTAAACAAACCTATCTACATGGGTATGTCTATTTTAAACTATTCTAAAATTCACATGTATTCCTTCTATTATGATGTGTTAAAACTCAAATATGATGATAAAATCAAGTTGGTCTATACTGATACTGATAGTTATGTAATCAAAGTTGAGACTGCTGATTTATATGAAGACTTTGTGGAGATAAATGAATACATGGATTTCAGTGATTATCCAGCAGAACATCCAAATCATGATAAATCAAGCAAGAAGGTATTAGGGAAATTCAAGGATGAAATGAACGGTAAAATAATTACTCACTTTATAGGATTGAAACCAAAGGCATATTGTTATAAAGTATATGGTGATGAGAAGGAACACAAGAAAAGTAAAGGGGTAGTCAAGCATAAAGTGAGCAATCAGTTAAGTTACAAAACGTATGAAGAGACATTGAATAGAAACTGTAAAGAAGAAGTCAGTTTTAACACTATCAGAAGTAAGAACCATCAAATTTATAGCATTAATCAGACTAAATATGCTTTCAGCAACTACGACAATAAACGCTACTGGCATTCAGATTTTGAAAGCCTCCCGTTTGGACACTATGCCATAGAATATCTACATAACGAAAAGATGATTTAAGATATATGGATATAAATTCAACAACTGAAAAATTATGTCAAAGAATGGCAAGACATAGAAGAGCTTATAAATATTGTTTATAAACAATACAAACCCCCACAAACACCATCCTAACTCAATGAAATCGTTTGATGAGTTCGGTCTTGAAAACTGCAAACTAGTTCTTATTGCAGAATACCCATGCCAAAACAGAAAGCAACTCGAAAAGAAAGAAGGTGGATATATTGAAAATGATAAGAACGGTCTTAACAGATGTATTGCTGGTCGGACTTGAATGGAAGATTGCGGCGCCACAGGAGAGCATCACCTTCAACAGTAAAACATATCAGAATAGAGAATATTGAAAAATACAAAGAAAAAGACAAACGGCATCATGAGAACGATAAAAATAAAATACAAGAAAAAACGAAACACTACAAAAATGAGGAGAAATATTGCGAGAAGAACTCAAAGCATAGAGAAGGAAACAGAGAAGCGTTGAGGCAAACACAAAGAAAAAGATACCAAAGAGAGAAAGATAAGATAAATGCAAAAAGAAGAGAAAGGCAAAAACAGAAGAAAGAACAACAACTACTAATAAACCAAAAGTAGTTCATGCCCATTATATCTTTTACTCATTCCATCTAGTTTATAGTATATATTATTAATCATATCACGACCAACTAATATCACTTTGTATTTCCTTTCACTCCACTGACTTCTAGTTTCCTTCCTTGATACATAGTTGCCCTTTCCTTTATCAAATATCTTAACATAATCTCCTTCACTTATGTTTGGATATTTTCTGTTATGCTTTTCTTTCAGTATCAGATTCGTTCTGACCTGAATTACGTTATCAAGATTGTGCGCATTATTTGGTGTTGTCTTGGTGCTACTGTGGATTTGGTTGTTGTATCTATTCAACGAGGGCTTTAGCACTTCCACCCATGTTTTGGTTTTGTAATGCCTCAATCTGTCCCCAATCATTTTTTTGACGGTGCGTATCATCCTTTCTGCCTGATTTGCATGCGTCTTTGTTATTACGTGCGTTATACCTTCCTCCTTAAAAAATGTTTGCAGCTTCTTGCTGTTCAACGCTCCTTCGTCGTCACTGTAAATCGACAAGGGCTGACCTAATAACTTGAAACACTCCATGACTGCTTTATAAACGTCATCACCATCTTTATTCTCGATAGGGACTATGTGACATTTTTTGCTGAAAATATCTATGCAAACTAAACCATATCTTAGTTGACTTTTGATTTCAGAACCTACGTCTCGCAGCAAACTGCTGACATCCATCAAGTCGATTTGGAATTCATACTTCGGGAAGGGTGCAGTGTAGGAACTGTAGTTCTTGTAATTTCGTGTTTGCTTGTTTGGTTGTGCCCTCATCCATGTAGATACCATATCCAAAGTTATGCCTACATCGACTTTCCTAGCCTTTTCGTATAAGTCTAAGTCCCTCACCGAACCGAAGCCGTCCTCCACGTCGTAATATATTTTTTCCAATACTTTTTCTTTTTTCCAATCTTGCCATTAAAAATACTTATATAGATTATAATTTTATGATATTTTCTTGCATCATAAAATCATAGTGAACTCAAACCAAGAACCTTTGGCACTTCTTCGTTTTCTTGTGCTTTGCCAAGTTTGATTTACAACTTAAGTCAGAACCGCATATATCGCATACGCACGGTTGTTTCGTTCTCTCTTGGTAATATCTTTGGAAATACTTTTCGTCGTTCGGTTTTCTGTTGTAATATCCGTCATCTTGTTTTCTCCATTCAGCATTGGTGTTTTTGTTAACTGATGAGTTTGCTTTGTAGCTTTCTTCAGATGAAGATGTTTCGCTGTCAATGAGTTCTTTGCCAAAACCGTTCATAAAGTCAAAGGTTTGATTTGTCATCGGGATTTCAACTCCACTACTTACCAGGTAACGAGGCATACTGCAAATATAGTTAATTATATATCTCAATATTTGTCTAAGTATATTTATACTATGTATATCAGTTTGTGCTTGTGGCATCTCGTACAAGTCCCTAACACAACCCCAAAATAGTTTCGACATCAAAGTTTATAGGTTTGAGCATTTTACCCTTCCAACTCCACCGGTTGACTTATTTTTAGTGACACCCAGTCCTAAACCCTCAAAAATCCAAACCCAAACATGCTTAGCGTTCAAAACAGCGAGACTTGAGCTTTGTCCCAAGCCAATCCAAAAACCTATCCAATTTTCCCCCCAAACCGAACCAATTTTCCCCCAAACCGAACCAGTTTGTCCCAAAAAACGGAGCTTGTTTTTCCCAAAAACGGAGCCTGTTCTCTCCAAAAACGGAGCATGTTTTTCCCAACATGGAGCATGTTTTTCCAAAAAAAGGAGCATGTTTTTCCCAAAAACGGAACCTGTTTTTCCCAAAAACGGAGCTTCACAAAACCGGTGGCAGATTTTCCCAAAGTCGGTGGCTGATTTTCCCAAAGTCTGTGGCAGGTTTTCCTAAAGTCTGTGGCAGATTTTCCTAAAGTCGGTGGCTGATTTTCCCAAAGTCTGTGGCAGGTTTTCCTAAAGTCTGTGGGAGATTTTTCCCAAAGTCTGTGACGGATTTTCCAAAAATGGTGACGGATTTCCTCAAAGTCGGTGGCTGATTTTCCCAAAGTCTGTGACGGATTTCCTCAGGTCGGTGACGGATTTCCCCACAACCGAACCTGTTTTCCAAAAACCGAACCAATTTTTCACCAAAACCGGAGCCAGTTTTTTTGCTCGAACAAAGCCGGTTTTTCCCTAAAACGTATTTTCTGTTGTTGCTTCAATTTAGGATAAGCACACACAGGCTCGCTCGACATCCGAATGAAACAACAGAATTTGAAAGAGAACAGCAAAACTGGACTAAGATTCTGTTCACACGCTTGAACACATTTGCTTTCTTATTTTATTTCCAAGGATTTCATTTAACCAAATGGATTTACCATGATTTACCGTAGTTTCCAAGCCTTTGGATGCAACCTCCTAAACCGGTTGATTTCATTTCCAGACTGCATGGATTTTATGATATCATTTCCAAACCCTGTGGATTTTATAACCAAACACGTTGGATTTGTTTTTTCACGTGTTTTGTATTTCTGCCTGTGTCGTCCTTTCTCTTCAAGCCACTGCACGTGACGGAATTTCTGCGCGGACAACTGCAAATTTTGGACATTACAATGCTCACTGTCTTTCGGGCACACTTGCACAGGAATTGCTGGAATTTGCTTCTCCTTAAACTTCATTCTAGTCACGGAACTTAGTGCTCAAACTATCAGTGGTATGAACGCAGTGAGTAATATCAACCTTAGTTCCTGATACGTGCACAGAGATGTGTAAAGACGCTCAGAGATTTTGCATGGTCAACCTTTCACATGCTTTGTTGCAATTTGATGAACCTTTTCAAGATACTCTTGACTACATTTCATGAAATGTCCGGCTCACGTAAATGGCGTGGTGCACTTGCATGTGTCCTTTGGGCAAGTGTGGTTGGATGCTTTTTGACAACAGGGACAACAAGAAATCCACCGCGTTCAGTGAAGCTACGTGGTCTACCTCCTGGTGTTGACGCGGGCAAAACAAACAGTTTTTGGGTCGCGGTGCAAAACGCCGCCAGTAGGAGCAAGACTGATGCCCAGACCTATGTGGAGAGCATTGTTGCGCTTGCAGACAGTCACATGAAGTCCAGCAAAGTTGTTGACAGAGACGCTGCAATACAGAATTTGATACGGTCAATGGAAAAGACAGGATTGCTGACCTTGGTCTTGGGGGGCAAGAATTTGGGAAAAACATTTCTCAAAAAAGCTGCGCTGCAAAGGTGTTGCTCCAACGTGGTGGTCCTTTCAGAGGACATGAGAAACAACCCGGGAGCAAGTTTGCTGGATGTGTTGCTACAAGTTGCTAACAGGACCTTGGAGAAGATGACCACTGAAGAAGAGTTCAAACCATTAATTCCTACACTTTCGGCGATTTTGTCTGCAGCTGCGGTGGCTTTTGAAGGCTTCGCTCCTGCAGCGGCTCCCATCTCCAATTATGTAAGGGATGTAGTTAATGTAGTTAGTATGGCTGCAGGTAAAAGGGAAAAGGCACTGGATGAATTTCTACAGATGGTGTGCAAAACATCCAAAAAACCTGCAATTGTGGTCGACGAGGCAGACCTTGCACTACCCGGGTTGACAAATGGACAGGATGGTGGGGAGAGGCGCGAAGCCAAGTCAGCTTTGGCCGCGATAACAAAATGGACAAAGCAAGACATGCTGTCGAGCGTTGTCCTCATCTCCTCAGAGTTTGGGTATCCCTTCCGCCTGCAAGCTGCAGGGTTGGACTTCAGGGACATAGGCAAAGTCATTGTCATCGGCGAAGTGCCAAAGTCAGACATGCTCAAGATGCTGAAGGATGATTGGGGCATGGACAAAGACTTGGCAGAGATGTTCTATGAGTACTTTGGCAGGGACATTTTCACCACCAAGCAGGCTTTGGAGAGCCTCAAAGAGGAGAAGGATAACTTCGACCCCTTTGCAGTTGTTGTACCTCCCGGGCTGCCTTCCTGTGTGAAAAATGCAGCGGCGAGGGCTCACCTCGAGAACATCGCCAGGGAAGGCTTCTCTTTGGTGGAGGATGTGAAGGTGGACGAAGGTGCTAAAATGATTGCGGAGGAGAACCTGGGCGGGGTCATCAAGAAGGGTGCCGTCACATTCGGTTTACCCACCATCTTCACCGGCACAGACGAGGAATGGGCTGTCATCCCATCGTCCTATCACATGAAGCTGCTGATTGCCCGTAAGCTCCAACAAATTCCTTTGCCAACATCAGGACGGTGTTTCAGAAATTGGTTCTCTTGCATGTTTTGTTCTGTTTTGCTTCCACTGTTCCAAGGGAGGAGGTGGATCGAGGTTGAATAAACTTGTTGAGATTTATATAGGTGGACAATCATGAGGTTCATAGAGAAAACAATACAAGCATCCATAGATACCTCTTCCCTTGCAAGGCGGCACTGGGACTGCACCACCAGCTGTTTGGGTGAGACAAATCCGCAAGGACTGCAGAGAAGTGCAATGACCGTTTGACTCTGTAAAAACGGGTTTTGTTTCACCAAAGTCGTTGCTATGAAGCAAGGGGAGAGGTCTTTCCAACCATCACCCACCTCAAAGTCAAAAGCTTTCCGCTCTTGGGCTGCTATTCGTGTTTCCTCTTGATTTCTTGGGCTTAGTTTGGTGCTCAGTGGATGAAATTGCGAAAAGGAATGGATTTGTGATTTGCTTGATGTAATCTCCGACTGCCCCGACAGCATCAGTCACTCTGGATGCAAGAGCCCTGGTATTTCTTGTCATGCCAGTTGTTCCTTTATCAACCGTTTTTGTGCATGTAAAAAAGTGTGTCTATGTAATGTTCCTCCCAAGCCCAAAAATGTGGGCAAGTCCGCTCGCCAAACAAAGCACTGTCATGTTTTGTTCTTTGTAGAGTTCAGGACTCTTGGGGGGAGATTGCAGGGTTGCTTATTCCTCAGGATTTGTTGAATGATATCTTACCAACATTTTCCTCAGATTGATAGACATGTTTGAGACTAAAGACTTTGTATGATTTTCTGCCATGCCCTTGTTCCTTTGCCGTGCCCTTTTGTCAGGTGTAGGAAGAACTTTTATTTACGAAAAGCCATGCCCCAAACTAAAAGCGTGATTAAGGGCAAGTCCACTGCGCAAGATAATACACTGTCATGCTACGAACTTGGTAGGGTTCAGAACTTTTAGGGAGAAGATAACAGGGTTGTTCATTCCTCAGGATTTGTTAAACATGTATTCCAATCATCTTCCTCAATTTGATAGAGAGGATTTAGACTAAAGACTTTGTATGTTTTTCTGCCATGCCCTTGTTCCTGTGCCATGTCCATTTGACTGTTCCCACCTCAACATCTCACCTTTTGAGTGATGCAGCAAGTGTTGAACAAGCAGCCTTGTCATCCCTATATGTTCCTTTCATGTGTTGCTTTGCATGGTTCGTGTGCTAAAACCGGTGTGGATTGGTCATGTTGATAAAGGTAGGGTTGTGTTCCATCATTTCTCCCACTCAAGCGTCAAAGGCCTTGTTATTTGCAAGAGCCACTGCCACAGTTTATGCCTTTGTTCCTTTAGGAAGTTCCTCTGACTAGTGTTAGGTTAAAATACAAGTGATTTGTTCACTCGTCCAGCTCCTGTTTGAAATTGCAGGACGGTGGAACGTTCAAGGAGATTGGCAACGCTTTCCAAGTCAAGGGAGAGTTGGCGAACGTAATGACCTTAACTTGGCTATGCCCTTCTTGCTGGCTTGTCATGCTTCACGTAATCTAACAACGTTTCCGATGTAGTCGGCTCAGCCACTCCATCATGTGTGCAAGGTTTACTTACCAAGTGTTTTTGAATGTTTCATCCAAGTTGCCGCAGTCGACAGCTCGGTATTGCTTCGGTTTGAGGTTGATGACCTCAAAGAAGCCCAGTGCTTAGAGACCTCGTTCGAGTTCGCCCCTTCCTCAGACCGGACCGGTATTTGCTTCAGGCAATCGAAAAGACGGAGAAACTGTCCATTGCAAAGTCCAAGATTGACATCTACAGCCTGAAGGACAGCTTCGCTATTTTCTTCCACCATCCACCGCTCTAACCTGACCTTTCGAAACAGTGCTTCAAGTTGTCGTTTGAGTATTGTGGTATGCCAGTTTGCTCATCACGGATTTGCAGGATGGAAAGTGGATTAGGGAAGAAAAGATGTCGGCAAGCCTTCGGGACACAGACGAGCCCAGCACTTGGTGTTTTGTTTTGAGCAGCTTTTGACAATGCTTCGGTTCAGATTGATGTCATTGTTTACAACTTTCTGATGTATTTTTGTTGCCGCCTCGCATTCAGGTCAGACTGCTATGGTTTCACGATACCATCAGCGTGAGTGTGAATCTCAGCTTTCTTGGCAACCTGCAGTGGCTTGACGGTAATGGAGTTCCGTGGTCACAGTGACAACTTTTGGCTCTCATGAGGGTCTGTTTGTTGCTCTGTCGGCTGAGGCTGTCGAAATCCAATGAGAGCACGAATGTGGGCGTGTATGTAGTCTATTAAAGTTTCACTTTGTATCACAAAATCAGCACAGTTGGTTCGTTGTGGTATGACCTTGCGTCAATGATAGAATATGCGTTCGCACGTGGACAATTCCAACTTGGACTGAAGGGCTGACTTTTCCTGACAATCAGGTCATGCATGCAACGGGTGCAGGAGCAATGGCCCAAGCAATGACCCAAGAGCTGGTCATAGCATGTTTCATTCAGGCGTTGCACATAGCGCCCAAGCACAGACCAAGCAACATACAGTTCCCTAAGAAAAAGACTTGTGCTTGATTTTGGACAGGCTTTCCTGGCAGTCGGAGCTTTGAATGGAAAACTAGTAGAAAATTTAAGGAAAATCGGTGGAAAACTAGTGGACAAAGTTTTGGCAACTAAGGGTGACTTTTCAACATGCTAAACTCCTTGCAGTCACGAAAAGCATGCCACCGACTTATATGAGACGGCATAGAGATATTTTACACAAAACTCCCAGCGGGCAAAAAGTGCTTAAATATTAAGATATATAATTAACTATATATACACAATATGCCTTGTTACTTTGTAAGTAATGGAATTGAAATCTCGATGACGAATGAAACCTTTGACTTTATTTGGAACGGTTTTGGCAACAAAGAACTCATTGACAGCGAAACATCTTCATCTGAAGAAAGCTACAAAGCAAACTCATCCGTTAACAAGGACACCAATGCTGAATGGAGAAAGCAGGAGGACGGATACTACAACAGAAAACCGAACGACAAAAAGTATTTCCAAAGATATTACCAAGAGAAAACGAAACAACCGTGCGTATGCGATATATGCGGTTCTGACTTAAGTTTTAAATCAAACTTGGCAAAGCACAAGAAAACCAAAAAGTGCCAAAGGTTCTTGGTTTGAGTTCACTATGATTTTATGATGCAAGAAAATATCATAAAATTATAATCTATATAAGTATTTTTAATGGCAAGATTGGAAAAAGAAAAGGTATTGGAAAGAATATACTACGACGTGGACGAGGGCTTCGGTTCGGTGAGGGACTTATACGAAAAGGCTAGGAAAGTCGATGTAGGCATAACTTTGGATATGGTATCTACATGGATGAGGGCACAACCGAACAAGCAAACACGAAATTACAAGAACTACAATTCCTACACTGCACCCTTCCCGAAGTATGAATTCCAAATCGACTTGATGGATGTCAGCAGTTTGCTGCGAGACGTAGGTTCTGAAATCAAAAGTCAACTAAGATATGGTTTAGTTTGCATAGATATTTTCAGCAAAAAATGTCACATAGTCCCTATCGAGAATAAAGATGGTGATGACGTTTATAAAGCAGTCATGGAGTGTTTCAAGGTATTAGGTCAGCCCTTGTCGATTTACAGTGACGACGAAGGAGCGTTGAACAGCAAGAAGCTGCAAACATTTTTTAAGGAGGAAGGTATAACGCACGTAATAACAAAGACGCATGCAAATCAGGCAGAAAGGATGATACGCACGGTCAAAAAAATGATTGGGGACAGATTGAGGCATTACAAAACCAAAACATGGGTGGAAGTGCTAAAGCCCTCGTTGAATAGATACAACAACCAAATCCACAGTAGCACCAAGACAACACCAAATAATGCGCACAATCTTGATAACGTAATTCAGGTCAGAACGAATCTGATACTGAAAAAAAAGCATAACAGAAAATATCCAAACATAAGTGGAGGAGATTATGTTAAGATATTTGATAAAAGAAAGGGCAACTATGTATCAAGGAAGGAAACTAGAAGTCAGTGGAGTGAAAGGAAATACAAAGTGATATTAGTTGGTCGTGATATGATGAATAATAGATACTATAAACTAGATGGAATGAGTAAACAATATAATAGGCATGAACTACTTTTGGTTTATTAGTAGTTGTTGTTCTTTCTTCTGTTTTTGCCTTTCTCTTCTTTTTGCATTTATCTTATCTTTCTCTCTTTGGTATCTTTTTCTTTGTGTTTGCCTCAATGCTTCTCTGTTTCCTTCTCTATGCTTTGAGTTCTTCTCGCAATATTTCTCCTCATTTTTGTAGTGTTTCGTCTTTTTTTCTTGTATTTTATTTTTATTGTTCTCATGATGCCGTTTGTCTTTTTCTTTGTATTTTTCAATATTCTCTATTCTGATATTTTTTACTGTTGAAGCTGATGCTCTCCTGTGGCGCCGCAATCTTCCATTCAAGTCCGACCAGCAATACATCTGTTAAGACCGTTCTTATCATTTTCAATATATCCACCTTCTTTCTTTTCGAGTTGCTTTCTGTTTTGGCATGGGTATTCTGCAATAAGAACTAGTTTGCAGTTTTCAAGACCGAACTCATCAAACGATTTCATTGAGTTAGGATGGTGTTTGTGGGGGTTTGTATTGTTTATAAACAATATTTATAAGCTCTTCTATGTCTTGCCATTCTTTGACATAATTTTTCAGTTGTTGAATTTATATCCATATATCTTAAATCATCTTTTCGTTATGTAGATATTCTATGGCATAGTGTCCAAACGGGAGGCTTTCAAACTCTGAATACCAGTAGCGTTTATTGTCGTAGTTGCTGAAAGCATACTTAGTCTGATTAACGCTATAAATTTGATGGTTCTTACTTCTGATAGTGTTAAAACTGACTTCTTCTTTACAGTTTCTATTCAATGTCTCTTCATACGTTTTGTAACTTAACTGATTGCTCACTTTATGCTTGACTACCCCTTTACTTTTCTTGTGTTCCTTCTCATCACCATATACTTTATAACAATATGCCTGTGGTTTCAATCCTATAAAGTGAGTAATTATTTTACCGATCATTTCATCCTTGAATTTCCCTAATACCTTCTTGTTTGATTTATCATGATTTGGATGTTCTGCTGGATAATCACTGAAACCCATGTATTCATTTATCTCCACAAAGTCTTCATATAAATCATCAGTCTCAACTTTGATTACATAACTATCAGTATCAGTATAGACCAACTTGATTTTATCATCATACTTGAG